GTCTAGAGGAGACCAGAGTGAAGAGGCTTGCGTGTGATGGAGAAGCAGGGTAGTGTTCTAAGACAAAGCAGGACCACTGAGGCTTTTAAGTGGAGAACTGCAGAATCAGATATACAGTGTAGATACTGTCTTCGGCCTACAGTGTGCAGGATGTCTGAAGGTGGGGCAGAGTGGAAGCAGGGACATCAGTGAGAAGATTGTTGTAGTAATCCCAAGGAGGGAAACACGAGAGGGTAGGAAGGACAGAGAATCCAACACAAAACTGCAGATCAAGGGGACAGGATTTAGGAGTTGGTTGATTGAATATGTGGAGGCAGAGGCCTAGCTTAGTCAACTAGGCAAACTCACTGAGACGAGGGGCAGGGTGAGCTTGGTGTGGAGGAAGTCAAGGATTCTATGCTGGTCTGGTTTGAGATGCTGTTCAGATCCTGAAATGGAGATTTCAGCAGGCAGTCCGTGCAAGTCGGAAGCCTAGAAGGCAGATCCATGTGAGGACATATGCAACAGCCTGAACTTTGTATCCGTTTACTAGAGCCAGGAGCGTAGATGAGTCCACTAGTGAGGAAAGGCAGGTGAAAAGAGCTGTGGAGGAGCAAGGTGGACACGGGAAGCAACAGCTGAGGTGTGTACAGAGGAGCAGGGGCGAGAGACAGAAAGCCAGAAATAATGGCCAGAGAAAAAGCACTGAGGGTTGTTTTTTCTCTCTGTCATTTCTTCTTTTCTGGTAGTTGGAAGGAACATCACTGTCTGAGTCACCTTCTCTTCACTGGGACACAAGGCCTGAACACCTGCAACTTAGAGGAGGAGCGGTTTATTTTGGCTCAGTTACAGCCCATGGTTGGCTCGTTCTAGGTCAGGAACAGCACGACCGAAGGAAATGAGGGAGGAAAGCTGCTGTGTCATGGGAGGGCAAACACAGAGAACAGGGAGGAGTTGGGGAGGGAGATAAATCCTTCCGGGTCACACCCCACTGCCTCTTCTGAGTAGACCCTATCAGCCAACAGCAGGTCAGCTACGTTGCCTCAGTGATTCAGTCACCTTCCAAAATTCCCACCTGTGAGTGCATGAGGACCCTGGGGGAGATTCTTGATCCCAACCGTAACAGCCACATTTAGTTGTGTGAGGAACAGAAAGATCTCTGCAGATGTCCAGGTGGAGATGGAGGAGGTAGAAGGTAGAGGGGTGGGAATGGGAGCAGAGATAAGGAACCTGCATTATCTGCCTAAGTCACAGTGGATTGGAGCATGGGGAATGGAGGCAGTGTAACCTTTTACACTCCTGGAAAAGGGTACACAATTTAATTCACTTAGAGTGAAGTGTTTGCATCAGTGACAAAGGATGAATCCCTGAGACAGAAAACCATCTCTGTCTAGCAGGCTGTCCTGGAAGCAACTTCAGATACAGGCTGGGAAGAGATAGGTGAAGTTTATCTAGATAGGTTTGAGCTGTGAATAGATGCAGAATCACTGCTTTTAGTGGTGAACCAAAGACCTCTCCACACAGGGCAGCAGGAAGTCGGAAGCTGCAGGTGAGCCCTGGTTCTGCACACTCAGTGCATGCTACCCACGTTCCTGGGCACCCCAGACCCCTGGACCGGCGCCACATGTGGGCGTCCCCGCACACAGAGTACAGTGACATCCAGTGCAATGTGACCTTCAGTCAAGTGAATAAGCAGAAATGCGTTACTGATCTAAAGGAAGCAAACATAATGAAGCTCACAGTGGAGCTCAGCCCTTGTTCTGTGTCACACGGTCCAGTGGGATAAAGATAATTCCCTGACTGTGAGCCCACAGGGACACCTTTTGCCTGCAGCTGCTCAGGGGCTGTATTGCAGAGCCAGCTCCCATGGTTAACGACCCGCAGTGTAATATGCCACATTCACATAAGCACTAATAGCGCACTGGGGGAACTTCAACAAAATTGTCAGGAAGACAAAAAGTGAATTTCAGATCTCCAGACTTTGCTTCTAATACTCAGAGGACATGCTTTCTCTGACTGGGGAACTTCATCCAGCAGTTAGTCACTCCTCCTGCCTTGAGAGGTGAGCCAGCCCCGGCCACATCTTCCCCACCAGGCCGCTGCTCTGGAAACAGGGACTCTTGCTCCTCCTCCCAGCAGAGGTTGTGTGTTCTGTGAGCTCTTCACTCTCTAAACTTCAGACTCTGGGGGTTTCTGTCCTTGCTATTCCTTTGCTCTTCCCTCAGCCATTCATTCTACTCGCCCAGTTTTGTAAGGTGTGTGACTGTCCAATTGTCACTTTTCTTTTGGGGAGTTAAATCAAGAACAACTTCCTAACCTAGCCTCGTGTCTAAGTTGTTCGTCATGCACAGAGGGACTTGAAAGACAGCGCAATGAGTCAGAGACTTGAACTTCGTTCCTTTCTCCAGTTTGGCTTGGAAAACTGACCAGCAAGCAAAGATTGGTATAAAAAGTCTACTCAAGTTGGGGAGAACATGTACGGAGCTGTCAGCACACAACAGTGTACACAACTTCAACCAGAGCATTCAATATCCCCCTCTTTTGAGACAGTCTATGTAGCTAGATACCCCCATTTTTAAGCTGCTGGGGAAACTTGATGGCCTATCTGTGCTATTGACTTATCTCTCCCTTTCCTGGTCTTCTACTATCACTTTCTGATCTCGCCCCTTTTTCTCCTCTTACCCCAAAATTCTCTTCCTTCTACTATACAGAGCAATTAATTTCTCTCTAGCTCCCGCTCAAATGAAGACCTATCTGTTCAGTTCTACACTCATTAACATGCACATTAGAAGGAAAAGCTCCTTTATGGAACAGAACTTCATCTCCTGCCTGCAATTTACATGCTAATGGTAACGATGTATCTCTGTTACAATGGGGAGGAAAGATTTGGCATTAGGCTATAAAGCAGAGCTGCTGCTAAACTGATTCTGGTGTTTTAAAAAAAAGCCAAGAAGCCCTGCTTTTAGAATGAGTTCATTGTTCATTGTCCTGAATACAAGCAAGGTCCTGTTGTTTGTCCTGAATACAACAGGGAGAAACGCTGGGGGACAAAGATAACTTGCTAAATGCCACTGTCATCTAGGTAATAATGTCATCAGTAGCCAGAGGTGAAGGAGATAACACAAGAGTCCCAGACACATCAGCTGCAGAGCAGAAAGACAGTTAGTTGGTCATTTACCTTGTGTTTTATAGTCTGAAGGTACAAGGAGTGCCATGCTGAATTCTTAACTCTCTGGACAGAGGTTCTGGACAGCCTGTGATGCTCTTGGCACACAGTAGGTACTCAATAAATATCAGAGTACCTGGAAAAATGAAAGAGTGGTTAGGCCCACCAAAAGAGTAATTTGGGGTATCCTGTCACCCACAGTCTCTGGTAGGAGAGCATAAAGGAAATGACCGCTATGGATAGGAAAGGTCTATTTTCTATAGCACAGATAGAGCTAGGACCACACAGGACAGTAACAGGACAGGTAGGTATTAGGAGGCTTTCGTCTGTCCTTAGAAAGCAATATATTCAGAGAGGCATGATAAACATAGTCACTATTCTCTCTTTAACAGTTGCAAAACAATAGCATGGTTTTCAAAAAATTTAATGAAAATCATATATATATACCGATACGAAGGCAGGCTAGTTACAATGCTGAGGGTTTTCTTTTTCTGCCCACTTGGAATGACACCACTCCATCATGTATTACCCCCTTGGAACACACACACACACACACACACACACACACACACCCTGTTTCTCTTAGACTATACCCTAATGCTGACTCAATTCTTGGATACAGTGCTTTTCCTAAGTCTTCCCTGAGTATCTGGTTCTGTCTATATTTGACTGTTCCCTTTCTGTCTGCTTCTCCTGAGAAGATTCTCCCAGGCTTTTGCACTCTCAGTCTAGCCATCCTGCAATAATGTTTGGGCTATACCTATTCCTGTCCCAAGCTATGAAGTGATTATTTTGCATTTAGTTTGCCTCATGTCTTGTGTAGAAGAAAGGTCACAAAATAGAGCACCAAAAATATCTTTGTTCAAACCCCTAGCTCTAAGCAGAACACCACTGGCAGATTCCAGAGCCTCCAAGGATACACTAATTTTGAGGATTTAGAGCAAACAAGTGAAACCTGCTGTTGTGCAGATAAACAAAGGAAAATTCACTGAAGACACATATATAGTTCCCAGAATCAAATGTATAGTCAAAATACCTGGTCTCGGGAGAAACATGAAACAAAGTGCCTCTGGGATCTCCTGCATGGTGACCTGGCACAGTCTTTGCAGAGCCTGCCCAGGTGCCCCTTTCTGTTTTGTGACAGCATCTGGACTGTAATCTTCAGGGGATTGCTGGAATTGGAGGAAGGTTATGCTTTTATAGAAGTACCATGTGTGTCGATGTTATAATTTAAACAACTTCTCAAATGAAAAGAAATGGAGAGAAAAGGAGTATTGATGGGGGAAAACAATGACTTATGTCCATATCAGCTTGTACGGCGTACCATTGCCCTTTTTATTTCCCTGAGGGACACTGACACCACCAAATTTCATCTCAATTGACTCTTTGGATAGCAACAAGAGTTTGGAGGATACTTTGAAGCAGTTTGGCAGGTGGACCACACAGAAAGCGATGGAGGGAAGAGGGTATTGTATAGTTTAGCAAGTTATAGATATTAACACCTTACATTTTTCTTTGAAATTTAATTAAGAAATAAATGCAAGGATTAAGATTAAATGTTTGAGGCTGCCATTAAAAGATTAAAAGACCAGTTTGAATGTAGTTCATCCTGAACCATATGAAGCTAAGTCTTGGGGCTATTAGAATAATAAAACACATTTTCTCTCCATAATAAATTTTAAGGCTGTTGGGCTGGCTGTAAGGTAGGTGGATGAGAAACTAATATTAAAAAATGATTTAGCAAGTGTCTGATTGTGACTTTTACAGTGGAGTGCTCAAAGTAAGAAAAAGGGTACAAAGTAGAATAAGGGCCCCTCAGATCACTGAAATGGAATGGAATGAGTTGTCTTCTTACCCCATATTTCTCAGCAGAACCTGAAAAAAATGGGAAAGAGAAGCCCGCTAATATATGCCATGATATCTTTTCATAGAATTCCTTTTCAAACACAGTGTGTTCCATTACAAAAAAACCTCATTAGCAATTATTTCAGGAAGATAATTTTTCTATCTCCCTCATGACAAAACTTGGAATAATATTGTAACTACACTGAAACTCATAAATCAAGGTATCCTGTACCCAAAATATAGTAAACAAAGCTTCTTACATAGTCAGAAGATTTAGGGACTAATGGAGATTATCTGTTTAAAAAATCTACCTGTGCCTGCTTCAGCAGCATATATATTTTAAAAATGTACCATTGATGAACAGAATTTTTAAAATTCCCTTTTTCCCTAAATAATAAGAGTTTAAATTTGCAGAACACTTTTCACCTATGACACATCATTTGATCCACTCAGCCTACAAATTGGGCTTTACTAGTATCCTTTCTATGATATATAATTTCAAGTGAAAAATAGAAGAACCTGAATTACTTCACTTGGACCTCACATAATTCTGTAAGGGTATTAATTGTATCTTCACAGGTATTTGTTAATAGTATTGGTTCCAAGTAAGATTGGAGACAAATCGCTTTGGTTCACTTCCTAGTTTTGTCATTTAGCAACTGTATAATTTTAGGAAAGTCACTTAACTTCCTTATGTCTGTAATTATGAGAGTTTTTAATAAGATTATTGGTAGGATTAAATTATATGTGGCACAATTGGAACAGTGTTTGGGAAATATTATATTATGAGGTCATTTTCTGGCTCAAATGATTTGTATTTTGTATTTGCACTTCTATTCACTGGATTGTGGCTTTTGAATGTGCAATTATGGAATATTACTAGGCTTTATGTGAGTGTGGCAGTTAAAAGAAGGTCATATTCTCAGATAAGCCTGGGAGGTACGATATTAGCTGAATGGACTATATCTCTCTTCTCTTTACTATATTCCAGAGCATTTAATACATTTGTGTTAACTGTGAATCTCCTGGGAGGGGGTCCTATCCAAGCACTAGCACTGAGGCCCTTTCCTCACTGTCTTTGTCCTACTGGCTATAAAAGCTCTCTTTTGGGGAAGGAGGAATGATAAGTACCATTGGCCTTTGAAAGGTGAATGGTATCCACAAGTGGAGGTTTCACCCAGACTTAGCTGTGTCTTGGGGTCCCGGCTCGCCTTCTGCTATTGGGGATTCAGAAGCAGAATGCAGGGAATGGTAGATGGAACACCCACGTGTCTCAGAGACCAGACAAAAAGCCGACACCTGTCCTCCACCTGGTGGAGCATGCTGCTTCTTACAACTGTAACGATGGAGCCTATTTCACGTGGCAGCTGTATACCTCTGCTCCTGGTCCTCCAGGATGCTGGTCCCTCTCCTCTGCTCTGTGTGGGAGACAGTAGGGTTGGCCAAAGGTCTGGTTCTCTTCTTTCTTTCTTCAGTTCAGGGGACCTGAAGAATTATAAACTGGTAGAGATGGAGTAAGGGAAACAAAATGTCAGTTTTATATAAAAGCAGAGCAAGCCTTGGTAGCTAGGCAGTGGATTGCTTGTGAGAATCTAAAAGTTACAAATGTAATCAGTAATTGTCAAATTCTGATAGCTATCGAAGCATTTTCATCCACATTATCTCCTTTAGGTCTACGGACATCATAGTGGTTGCATGCTTATCGCAGTCACCTTGTAATGAGGAAATGAAGGTCAGGGGAATAAGACACCTCACTAGCATCACTCAAGTAGTGGCTGGAGGGGCTGGGGATTTAGCTCAGCGGCACAGTGCCTGCCTGGCAAGCGCAAGGTTGTGAGTTCAACTCCCGGTACTGGAAAAAAAAAAAAGTAGTGGCTGGAAGGGCTGCAACCCAAGGCCAGATCCTCGCACTCTGGACTCTTGCTCTGTGCTCTGTGCGATGCTGCCAGGCCTAAATTCTCAGGGCCCTTGGAGAGGAGAGAACTGGGAGTGCATGAAGAAATAAGAGCAGGAGGGAAGCTTCTCTGCACTGTTGCCTTCGGACCAGCTCTGAGAGGAGCTACCAAACCCACATTCTGATAAAGAGTGCCAAGAGTGAAAGCCCATCCTGCTGAGGAGTTTGGAAAATAATTTCAAGCCGGAAATTGCATTTTATCTTTTCATCCCCTTAAGTTCAAAATTCAGCTCCTCAGAGTTGCCTAGATTTTAAAAGAAAACACAGATTCTAGCATCACAATTCAACACACAGTGCGTTCAACAGTCCTTGTCCGCCCATGCTGAAAATGGCACGTTGAATTGGACTGTTTGGCAAATAAGCCAGGAGACTGCACATCTACCAGGCATCAGAGTCCACTTTCATCACTCATTATTATTGAGGAGAGAGATTTGTGCTCATGCGCAGAGTGGATAAGGCCCTGGCAACTGACTTGTTATCACTGATTTCTTGGGAAATGGTCATCCCTAAATCTCACAGACAAGGAGAAAAGGAAAGTGGCTACTAAAAATTTTTCTAAGCATGGTTTCAACCCAGAGAACCATAAACATAATTACAGAGAGCTAGCGTCTCATAAGAGAGGATTACCTCTGGAGTCAGTTAAATCAGGATCTAAACTCTAGTTTCTCTTTCACAAATTGGTGCACACCCTTCATGGGTTTTATTTTCAGGATCAAACAAAATACTCCATGCAGTTAACAGTAAGTTGAGCTGATTACATGCTCAATGAATTATATTCATCTCAATCAAAGTCACAGTAATTCAGTAGGAAAAGAAATTTGGGTTAAGGTAAAGAGACTCAGCTGTGTGACCAAAAGACATTCTGATCAGCAAAATTCTAGCGCAGAAGCTGGTGAAAGTCAGCAGTGATGAGGGCAAGTTACACGGGCTCATTAGCTCATCCCTGCTCTCTGTTAGGACGAAGGCCTAGCAGCAAGCGGAGGGGAGGAGCTTCTGATTCATAGCTGACCGTGTGCCCACTCCAGCCCAAAATGTTGACAGAGGAAATGAGTCAAGAAGATAGCCCCAGGGATCCGTCCCGCTCCTGGGGCCGGCCAGGAAACTTCTGGAATCCTGGCAGGCTTAGGGCCCAAAATGCCTAGCAGAAACTTATTGACATACTTGTTGGTGAGAACTAGAATGAAAATAAAGAGGCAGCCAGAAATGAGCAGCTGCAGAGCAAAGGCAATTCTCTTTTTTGAGCTCATCAATGAGCACATTAAAGGGAGGAGGTTATGGGTGGCTCAGGAAACTATTTCTTTTAGGAAAATACTTCTTTTGCTGCTATGATCAGGCTCAATAAGTACTCATCACTGATATGATAAAACACCTTCTGTGACCAGCAAGGGTCACATCTGTGAGAGTGAATGGGCACCCATTCTTCATCTACGTTAAGTCAGATCTCTGGAAAGCTAGACTTTGTAACCTGATGACTTACAGACATAATTTCTCTGAGTTATGGTCAGTGTGAACCTCAAAGTTCTCACTGAGGGTCTAAGAAATATCCCCAGAAAAGCTGCTTCTTTCACTGGCCATTACATCATTTAACATTCTTGATAAAACAAAGACCTCCATTTGGCCAATTTATTTTAGAGCTCACAGGAATAGGAGAAAGGCCATTGGCTTTGTGACCACAGCTCTGGAATGGAATCCCAACTCTCCAGGCACTAGTGGCATTCTGACAGAACCTTATTTGTTACAGAGATAGTAGCACCTTCCTGGGGGGCTGTTAAAAGAATCACAGGAACTATTTACTAGCTGTTTACAAAGTGCAAGGCACCCCAAAGGGCTTTATAAACACCTCACTGGACTCTTACAGCCAATTTTTGAGTTGTGGGTTATTATTCCCCTACTCATTTAAGGTCAGAGGTAAGGAATCTGACTTCCCTGAGACATGCGGCAAATTGCCCCAAGGCTCCCCAAGGCTCCCTGCTAGGCTAGAGCAGGGGAAAATGTGATGTTCATGAAAGTTTGTGGCAGTTTCTGAGTGGATGCCAAACAACCCTCAGCTACCTTGTCCTACTTCTTACAGACTTGATTGAAAGGTTTCCATTTAAAGAGCTGAGCTTTAGTTTTTCTTGTTTTGTCCTTTGCCTCCTGAGAAATTCAATGTAGTATTCGATAACATTAACTCTATTTCATGAGTATTCTATTCCCCTGATTTGTTGGTGGTGTTTAATTCCTTATTTTAGAAGCTTATATCATTGAAATGTTTATTGTAAGCCTTTCCACATCTTTTAGAAGCAGACTGGTTACAATCCAGTGTCTCTGGGTGGGTTACCAGCTGTAGAATGGACACAGCCTTGATTATAAAGTAGGATACCTATTTCAAAAACCTATTAGAATATCTGAATTTAAATGAAAGTTTCCCCTTAAAAGGAAAGGGGCTAAATATGTACTCCAAAGATAAATAATTGAGAAAAGCCTCCTGAGTACTTCCTCCCTGGCAATTATCTGTGGCATAGTTTTTCTACCCTTACCCTTAAAATGAGGGTAAGTTCATGTTTGGGATGGGGAGCTTAATTTTTGGAAGCAGATTGATGTCATTCACAACTAAACTGTTAAGTAAGTGATTGAACTGGGAAAGCTTTGGTCCAAAGCCAAATCACTATTTAAAATGTGAGAATGAATACTTTTTCCTGGGACTTATCAACTGGTTAGAATGACTGTCAACTCCCAAATATCAGTCAGTTCAGAAGAATTTGTCTAGAAAGACACTAAAAAGAGGTAATCACTTTTGAAGGAGGGTACTGCCCTCTGTAGGAATGATGATTTGGAAAGAGGAGCGTCACAGGGAGGGTAACCATGACAACCACGGGAAAATAAGCTTCAATGACCCCAGGTAGCACCTGAATTATGTTTCTCTGAAGCAAAGCAGCAGGGAGATGATGCTAAAAGCCATAGGACTCCTGCATCCTTGTTTAATACACGCTCAATGGCAGTGGAAAGAAACATCAGGAACTCTTGTCACAAGTGTCACACTTGGGTAAAAATAGTGAGAGAAAAGAAAGTTCAGCACAAAATCAGCACATGCAAAGAAAAGCCGGGAGAATCTCAGGCTAACATATGACAGTCTCTAGTACCCAATCATGTCGCAACTGGGAGACATTTAAGTTTATCAAGCCCAAATCTAGCTGAACAATAATTTTCATTTTTCAAAGGATTTTTACATATTTATTTCAATGAGGAGTCAATGAATCCTCATAGCACCATTGAGATGTGGGTGGGGTAGGTAATAGTCAAAAGTATATTGATAGGAAGAGGGCCAAGATTCAAATACATTAGTTGACTAATTCCTCAAGAGTACTCAATATACTAATGGCTAAACTTTCACTATTGGAATCGTGATCTGCTGCCCTCAACTTATAAATTAAGCTGTCTACTGTCTTATATTCTCTTTATCAACAAAGACAGAAATTCTGAGTCATCTTCTACAAAGTAATGATTTTAGCCTTCTTTGCTAACTTTCAGGAATAACATAAAAAATACCTTTGAAAGTTAGAGAAGCCTTTTATGACAAACTGTATTTGCAACCAATGACATACATACCAGTCAACATTTTATACATGTTGCTTTTCTTTCTTACTCATTTCCTCTTGAATTAGGCAAAAGGGACACAAAGGACCTTTCTTGTGTCATAAGCAGGGATGACTTTTCACAGATACTCATGGTCTTCCCTGATGTCATAGGTACTTTTTTGTTTCTGGGACAACGTCCCCGACACCCATAAGTTAAAGGAGGAAAGGTTTATTGTAGCTTGCAGTTTGTAGAGGTTTCAGTCTACTGTCTGCTGGCTCCAAGGCAAGGTGGCATGGCATAGAATAAACAGTCCATGGCAGGCAGAAACCGACCAGTCTGCCTCCCATCTTTCCCTTTATATTCCATTTAGGCTACAAGCCTATTGGTGCCACCCACACTCAAGGTAGGGTTCCCATTACCCACACCTAGACCACTGCTAATGAAATCAGTAGATTAATCCAATTACCACACCCTTAATATTCACACATTCTTAATCTACATTCACAAGCCCTAGATCAAGCCACCTCTAAAAAGCCCCACCTATGAGCACAGGAGGCTTTGAGGGGACATCTAGATACAAGTCACAAGGCTCATGCAGCCAGCTATTCTTCCTGAGGTGCTCATCATGGCACTCCGTGAGTCATGCTACCTGCCTAACTTGCCAAGGCGCCTGGATTACAGACCCAGAGCTGCAGGCAGCTCTCAAGCTCTACAATTCACTTCACTGCTCACCACTCAGCAATTCAAACAATAACTCAGCCTGGAAACCCAGCCAAGATTTACCCTAAATCCAAATTCCATCCAAATCTCTAAAAAGTGTGAGCAAAGGCTAAAATGTATACTTATAAGAGATGGGCTAGCTCACACATTTCTTTTTCTTCAGCATCAGTGTGATATCTGAAACATTTTTAGAAAGATCTTGAAGTAGATAAAGCAAAGAAAAAGGGAAAGGTAGGAGGAAGGAACATTAGAAGAAAATAAGGAAGGAGGAAGAAAAGGGAATGGAGGGAGAAAAAGAGTGAAGGTGGTGGGAGAGGATCAGGAGAGGATCTGCATCCTTAATCCCAACTACTTCTGGTTGAGCTTGGCCCTCGGTTTCTGTCCCTGTACTTTCTGCAAGGTAAAGAAGCTAGACCCTTGGGTCATAGTATCCTTTAAGCCCTTGATGATTTTAATGAAAAACAGTCATAAAAATATTTGACTTTTGTTAATAAAACTGCCAAGGAACAGAGAAAGCGAAGACCAGGAGTTGATTCTATCCAGAGGCATTTTTACCAGTAATTCTTTATTTGCTTCCTCTCTATGAGCCATGATCACCTCAGGAGATTTCATCTGGATAAAGCAGAGATTTAAAAACACTCTTATTAGGGCTTATGGCATCTGTGGCTTGAATTTATCTTCCGGAGCATCTGTTTACTAAGGGGAGGTGGATGCCATCATTCTTTTAAGGAGAGGCACGTCTCTGCCATCTCTTTCACCAATCTGCCTCCAAGACTACGCTATAGCCAACTAGTTCTCATTAGGAACTTACTCTGCCATAGTGTAGGCAGGTTTTTTGCATCATGTATTCATTTTACAAGTACTTCTGGATTGTTTAGCATGCATCTGGCATGGCTCATTGCAGTATTTCCCCTTCCTTTCTGCCCAGCGGTACCAGGGAAGACAGCAGAAGTTTGTGGGTGAGTGTTATGTCTCCCAATAGCCTTTTGCTCATTTAGAACTCTTTGGACTTTTTCCCAGCCCGGCATCTGTGAAAGGCAGCCCTGCAGAATGGGAGAAAATATTTGGTACCAAAGTATCTCATAAAGAGTTAGTTTCTAAAATATATGAGGTTTTCCTATAACGTGATAACAAATAACAAAATCACAAACTGGTTAAAAATAGGCTAAGGACTTTAATAGACATTTCTTAAAAGAAGACATACAAATGACCAAACAGATATATTTAAAGGTGTTCAACATCCGGGAAATGCAAGCCAAAATCTCTATGAGATACCTCCTCGCACCTGTCAGAATGGCCATTGTAAACAAATAAACGAAAGACAAGTGTTGGCAAATATGTGGATAAATTAAGACCCTTGAGTACTGCTGATGGGGATGTAAATTTGCACAGTTATTATGGAATACAATATGGAAGTTCCTCAAAAAATTTAAAAATAGACCTACCCAATGATCCAGGATTCCTACCTCACAGTATTTAATGTGAAAGAATTGAAATCAGAATCTCAAGAGATTTTAATACCTCTGTGCTCATTGTAGCATTGTCACGGTGGTCAAGGTATAGAAATAACCTAAATGTTCAGTGTTAGAAGAATAGATTTAAAAATGCAACATGCACATACAATGGAATACTCCTTAGTTTTAAAGAAAATTCTACAATATGCAATAACATGGATAAATCTGATAACATTATTGAGTTAAATAAACAAGTTACAGAAAGGCAATTAGACTCCAAAGTAGTCCAATTCATGGAACCAGAGTAAAATGCTAGTTCCCAAGGGTTGGGAGAGGGAGAATAAGCAGGAAAATAAAACTTCAATTAAGCAAGATAAATATGTCCTAGAGCTACTGTACAACATTGAATGTACAGCCATACACACTGTATTGTACACTTAAAATTTATTAAGAGGATATATTTTGTATGAATTGTACTTACTATAGTAAAACAAAATATACAAAATAAAAAGGATAGGGGCTGGGGGTTTAGCTCAGGGGCACAGCGCCTGCCTGGCAAGCACAAGGTCATGAGTTCAATTCCTGGTACCAGAAAAAAAAAACAAAATAAAAAGGATGAATTTAAAATGTTTAGTAGTACACAGATTTTAGGAGGAGACGTTAGAAAATATCCATGAGACCAAGTTTCTAGGGTGACTATCCCAACCTCATGGCAGGACCACCCTGCTACAGCTACTGTAACAGCTGCTGCCCCTGAGCTCACCTTGTCTGCTGTGGAGGCCACCTCAGACAGTAAGGTGACTCTGCCTCAGGACAGCTACTATGATGTCTTATCCATTCCAGTTTCCAGTCCACCAGCAGGAGCCCAGGGGCTGAGGTGAGGCAGTTCCTTCCAAAGAGTTTAGATGCTTTTGCAGACTATGGGTAAGAGGTCTCACCCAAGCCGGTACAAATACTATGTGCATGAACATCAAGACTCAATGCATCCAGGCAGGCGTGGTGGCGCACGCCTGGAATCCCAGCACTCGGGAGGCTGAGGCAGGAGTTCAAGACCAGCCTGGACTACAAAATGAGTTCAAGGCCAGCCTGAACTGCATAGGGAGACCCTGTCTCAAAAAAAACCAAACAAACAAACTCAAAGCTAACACCGAAGGAGCCAGAGATTGGGAGTAAACCTGGGTCATATACCTAAGTGAGTAGGTTGAGATGACGTTAAACTGACAGAAGGCCAGGAATTTGAGGGAAAAGAAGCAATTTTACACTAATTTGCATAATGACCTGATTAATATCTGTCTTTTCCATCAGACCAACTTCCATAAAGATATGGACAGTTCCATAGTTATTTGCTCACCACGACATAGTTTCAGAATGTAATACTGCAGTGTTGGTGTTTACTCACAGTCAGTGCAAAAAACATCCATATAATGGGAACTTCTGTTATTTCTCCAGCACTGCTGCTAATAGTATTGCTGCTTCATTTCCTCAGTATAATATGCTACCTGACAAATCCTCTTAAATTTTAGTGCTTTTGATCTGGGTGCAATTTTGTGATGCATTTGCTTGTGAAAATTTGTAAGTTGTAAGCTTGTGATTGTCAGCAGATCTGACAATGGTAAATTTATTGTGGTTCACAGAGGTGCTAGCTGAAGTCTCTGGCACTGGAAGAAGAATCATAGACTCCTATAGTTTTGGAAGTAGGCCATTCTTCTGGGTCTGAGATCTAGCACTGTTTTCCAGGGTACAGAACCCTAGTGTATTTGAAGCTACTTCTCCTCACTTGAGTGTTAACAGATCTACCCAGTCAGAAGGTAGTACAAGCACAGTAGCCATACAATGGAAATGGTAAACTCAGGATTGGGCCTGGGAAGTCTGAGAAACACAATTATGGATCTCAGGCAAATGGCTCCATCTTCCTACGTCAATGCAAAGACATATACCCAAGTGACAGAGAAAAAAGCATTGGTGTTAATTTACTGTTTCCATTCGACCAGGAAGAGTGTACTCCTTGTTTCAGTGCCAAAAGGAAACTGCTGTTGCACCGTAGCTGCCCTCAGAGGTGAACTGAATGGGCAGTGTTAAAGGGAAATCTTGCAATGGGCCAAGCTGCAAGAAGTTGGACACTTATTTGCACGGAGGGAGGAATGGCTCAAGGTTGCGATATACTTGGTAAAAGACTTCTTTGGTTGACTATAGCCTGGAAGGAGCAAAACTCAAAGAGACAAGGATTCTAAGAGAGAGGCAAGTGGATAGCCCAGTGGAAAGGAGCAAGGGCTTGTGGATCTTTGTTGCTTCACATAATGCCCAATAACCAGGCAGAGATGACAATTTGTCATCTGAGTTTAGCCAGCCTTTCTTCTCAGCCAACCTAGTGCATGCAGAATGAGCCATTTATGGATGAAGGCCATGCCCAACAGCACAGACACCCTCTTACCAAGGCTGAGCTAGCTACAGTTATAGCTGTGTGCCCAAACATCCAGGAGCAAAAGCAACACTAAACCCTCAAAATAGTAATTCCCCACAAGGAAACCATCCAGTCACTAGGGATAGTTTTATAATATTATGGTCCAGTGATGGCGAACCTTTTAGCACTTTCAGTGACACAAACAGCCTGCTGTGGCATATGTGCCATAGGTTTGCCATCATCTTCATAGCCTTTCTGCCATGGAGGGGACAGTCATTCATCGGCCACACATCTGCCAGCACATGTGTGGATGTAGAGGATACCTTATATACCAACATGGGATATTATACAATACTACTTCAGATCAAGGAACCAAATTTTTAGCAAAGGAAATACAACAGGTGCATGTTCACGGGATACTCTGGTTTAACAGTGAACTTTACCACTAGACTCTGTTTGCCTAGGAGGATAAAATGACCTACCAATGGCTTAGCTAAAGTAT